ATGCGTCCGGATCCAAATTTTGCTATCCGGACTTAAAATTTTGCTATCCGGATCTAGATCATCTTTTCACGGATCCTATATTTTATTATTTTTATCTAAATCCGAACTCTTCGAATATCCTAATTTTTGGAACAGATTCCAACAGATAATAAATCAGATTTCGGATCCCGGATATTAATTCAACCTCATACCTAACATCTCTTTTAGTATTATTAAAAGAATTCTCAACTTTTTATGCATATAAATCTTATTAAATATGTTGGTAGTTGGGGAAGTGAAAGCTGATCTTAGACCGTCGAAGTGGGCCGAGCAATATATTAAGTTCTTCTATCTAAACGGGCTTAACTCATCCAAATGGAGTCAAGGTGAAAATTTGGTTTTCAATTTAGAAATCTACAGAGACATAAGTACACCTAGTCCAAGGAGTGTCAAAACTTTTGTCCGAGGGCAAATCACTTCAAAACTTTTTCTATGCTTTCGGACCATTGTTAGGAAGAAGCTAAATGGTGAGACTTTAGGAGTCTCATGTAATTAAAACAAAAAGAAAATTTAAAAAAAAAACAATCATTTGGTAACTTTTTGCTTGAGTCCACTTTTTGCAGGAGAGACATCCTAAAGAGTATCAAGATTAATGATGTTCAGAGCAACCTCATCAGTGATACAGATGTTGTATCACTTGAATAAAATAATGAAAAAAATTAGAAAAAAAGTTTTTAATCAGAAAAAAGATTGAAACGTATCAATTAATTGATACAGATGAAACGTTTCAGTTAGGCACGTGGATCGTTCCGAATGGGCGAAAATTTGTGTCGACGTAGAGAAAAAAAAAATTTCTTCATTTTCTGTAAAATGAAGTTTCGAGAGAACTATTTCTCTCTCCTTGGCGATTTCGCGATCCGACGGCGATTTCATGTAATCGCCGGCGTGATATCGCCGTTGTCTTCTTGCATGTCGATCTCCCTTCTCCACTTCTCTATATGTCTCTCTCCGTGTTGCTTTGTGTACGAAGTCCCTTCTCTTCGAGATCCGGTTCGAATCCGTCGATCTAGATTCCCTTTGGCTTTTGACTTCGATCCTGTTCGAGACCGTCGATCTTCTCCTTCTCGTCCTTCAATCATAGAAAGATATGT